GCTGTAAGCTAAAATTCAGAAATGCCTTTTTTACTGTTGTTGATTGTCCTTTTTTAGCCCCTTCTGGTCTAAACCTGTAGGTGGGGCTTGAGAGGACCTGTTTGGTTGAGACCCCTAGCTCAGTGTACTTTAAACTTTCTTAAAACTCTGCAGGGTGAAAGTAACAAAACTTTAATGAGTTTCTGATGTCAAGTGAAATAACTCTGTCATTTCTCTCGTTGTTATTGTCCGTGCTGTGTGCCTTGTGAGCAGATAATAGATGTGGAGCATGATCCTAACGCGGGTGACTCCCTGGAGTACGATGCCGAGTGGATCGCTGTGCTCAAGGCCACCAACAGCCTGGTTAATGTGACTCAGTGCTCCTGGAACATGCCTGAAAAGAACGGCCTCCATGCCAAGTACGTTGCCTGCAAAGCAGAGAGAAAAGTGTTTTTTTTTTTTTGCTGGACTGGAGGTAAAGTTATGTCAGAGCTGTGTTTGTGTCCTGCAGCCTGTTGTGCCTGCAGGACTTGCTGAATGCCTTGGGAAGTAAAGGGCATGCTAAGAGCTGTACTCTGGAGCAAACAGCTTCCTTCCTGCTCTTCCTAGGCTGTTAGTTTTGTTTTGCAAACTCAGGTACCAGCACTGGAGGGACAGAGAATACCCCGTGGCTGATCATCCTGCCAGACAGATTGTGAGGCTGAAAATCAGGCTGGGTCGTGGGGGTGGGCTGACATAATACACAAATCCTTGGTGGGGAGGGGGGAATCTCAGTGCTGACCAAAAGAAACTGAAAACTTCCCTGAAAAGATCACCTGAGAAATGAGGTGTCTGTTGTGGGCTGGATTCATAACCCCTCCTTTGCAGTGGGAACAGGCAGTGCCTTTGGACCAGCTGCACTTGTTTGAACTCTCTGCACTTTTTTTAGGTGGGATTACAGCGTGACCGACGAAGCCATCAAAGAGGTGTTAGAAGAGCTGCATCACAACCTCACAATTCCCTCTAACTTCACCTTGACAGCTGCTTGTTATGATCCCAGCAAGCCCCAGAAAAACATGCAGCCAGTTCATACCATCAATCCCCAGACCACCGAGTTCTGCGCCCAGTTTGGCCTCACTGACATCAACGACAGGATCCAGCAGGCGAAGGAAGAGGGCTCAGGACGGGGTGAATATGAAGAGGAGGAGGAGGAGGAGGAGATGGACAGCACTGGGTCAGCAGAGGAGCCCAGTGAATATAACACAGATAACTCTGGCCTTTCCTCCATCAATCCAGATGAGATAATGCTGGATGAAGAAGGCGGCGATGAAGACTTGAGTACGTGCTCTGTAGATCCTTCCCCTGATCACCCCCCCGAGTTCTCCACGAGCTTCTCCGACATCCGGATCATGCCAGATTCCATGGCGGTGTCCTCCGATGATGCCATGGACTCCAACAACGAGGATCTGGAGAAGTCTGCTGGGAGTAAGCAAGGGGAGGAGAAGAGCTCCACTGAGAGACCGCTGAAGCGCGTTGGGGGTGATGAGAACGGGAACAGTGGCGTTAAAAAGATTAAGAGGAGGAATCAAGCCATCTATGCTGCAGAGGAGGAAGATAAAACAGATTAACACTTCCTGTGATGGATAACTAAGTTCTCTGCCAGCCTTTCTGTGGGAAGGTGGAGAGAACTGGTGGACTGCTCGTGCTTTTAATGTTAACGTGATCTTATTCGTTTACTTTCTTAAGCTCAAGGGGCTGGATGTGCCTCTCACAGGGAAGATGATTTATCTGGTTTAAACATGGAAGTCAGAAGCAGACTTCTCCAACAAAGTACTTTGACAAAGGGTTTAAAGCCTATCTGTCACTCAGTTTTGCTTCAGTCCCTGGTTATTGGTGTATGCTCCATATGTTCAGCTGTACAGCTCTACAAGAGTCACTGTGCTTGTCTAACAAGAACTTAGAATGCAGCCCAGGCCCAAGTGAGAGGATGTCTGACTAACAAGACTGAATGATTTGATTTTATTGCTTTTGTCTTGTTTTATACTGAACTTTTAATACAAAGTAGCACACAAAATAGCTCTGTGAATTACATTTGGAAATAGAATTCCCAGGATAACGAAACAGCAATAGAAGAATGAAGATTTTTTTTTTTTTCTGGTCATAGTCATGCCATAGAAAAACTTCATGGTCGTAAACAAAACTGTGTATTATCCTGAATTGCTTTTAATTAGAGTTTTGGTAGGGAACCAAGTCTCTTGATTTGGAGGATGACGGTTTTATGGGGACCATGGCAAAGTGCATCTCTGTTCTTAGAACCTCATTTGTGTTCTGTTTCTTAAGACTTGAGAACAATGTCTTAAAACACAAGTAGTTGGGAAGAACAGCTCCCTAAATGTGGGCATCACCACTGTCCTGGCTCTTACTGATTACTAATTAAGGCTGTGCTGTTCATACAAGGTGGTGGATGTTTTTAAGTTGCCTGAGGCAGCAAAACCCACCGTGATCATCAGCCTCCCTTTTCACCTGTCACTTCTTTTCAGTAGCTGTAACTTGCTGAACTCTTAGGACTGGATTTGGAATCTTCCAAAGCACCTTCATAACCTTCAGCTGAGAATAGAGACCCTCTTGGAAGATTTCTTTCTGCTTTTTTTTCCCCCTGAATTGTTAGCAATCAAATTACACTCCTTTGGCCTGAAAGGCTGTGAGGATAACAAAACTTCCCCAGTTCATGGCAGTGACAGTGTTTTCAAGCAGGTGTCATTAGACTCCTTTCTGCCAGTGTCTTCTGGTGTTCTGGGCTGAGCTTTTGGAGTCCAGACTTCCCCACAACTGTGCTGCCCTTGGCAGCAGAAGTAGCTCCTGTGCTTTTCCCCCTCCAAGGCACGGGGAGTGTGAGGGAGAAAGTGTCCTGACAGGAAGAAGGAACTGGACAGGGAGCAGTGAGTGCAATGGATTGGTGAGTGTGAGTTCTGTAGCAGGGAAACACTTTGAGCTCAAGACTTCTGTCTTTAAAGCCACTTCCATGTCTGGGATCCACCTCTGTTCCTCTCCTGTCAGCAGTTCACTATGAAAACTAAAGGTGTGTAAGTATTCAAGGGCTAGAAAAGGGTAAAATTAAAGCTCCCTCAGTTCAGTTACCAGCTCCTCTGTCAGAACAGCCCCAAAGAGCTGTACTGAGGGGTGAGGAGAACCTGCGAGTGTTGGGGGTGACCCTCAGGGTGTGTAAAGTAGCTCTGAACTGTCAGATAAGGTGCTGAAGGTAGTTGAGTCTCCTTAAGGGTCCTGGGTCTGCAGTGCTGAAATCTGAATTGTGCCTCGTGATCTGAACACTATAATGGAATAAAGTATTTTAAGGATAAATTGTGTTCTGGACTCCAAAGCCTCCCGAGGACCCTGAGCGTGGTGTGGAGCTCTCAGGTTCTCTGCACTGAATGGAACGTGTGTCTTACATGGAATAGACTTTTCAGTCTGATTTCTTATGCTTTTAAAGTTGTTCTGTTGTGTCTTGTCCCACATCCCCCCCTTCTGATAAATATGTTTAGGCTCTTTAGAAAGCAGGAAACTTGTACAAGGTACAGTACTGATTTTTGAACCTTTTCAGGATTTTTTAAAGTATTTCAGCATCCATTGAGCAGAGTGCAGCTGGTAAATACAGTTACCATACATTTTTTGGAGTATGAATCATCTCTGATCTCTAGAGCTACCAGTTGTCCACACCCTCTTTGTAGTTTGCAGTGTCCTCCCCTACCTTCCTGTCATCCATTATGGATTTTCCCTGCTGGCAAGATCTTCTGCTGCATGAAGATTTCCATTGAAGCTCTGAGCTGTTCCAGTAAAGGCCAAATACTTCAAAAAGTATGTAAAACTCTAGGGAAGGCTGACAACTTGAAATTGGCTTTTAAGACCCGGAGCCTCTAGTCCTCTTTAGAAAGAAGCTTTAGAGTCTCTTTGAAAAGTTTTGACTTTTGAAATTTTGGCGAGAAACCTGTGTAAAGTGTTTCTCTGTCAGACCCTTGTACTGAAGATTTTTCGGTGTATGACTTTTGCACTTAATTCAAAACTGTATGTGCTGTTATTAGTGCTTGAGAAAAATGTTCACCTGTTCCATTCCAGGCCAGCACACAGGTATTTTCAGAGCATGACACCGATCTACTCAGAGGAAAACAAAAAGAGAAATAGCCTTTTTTCACAAGTGGAGTATTTTTTTAAATTAAAGCTATTAAAGTCACCTTGTGGCTGCACCCTGAAGTGTGTTTATTGAGTTCCCGTTATCCCCTGCAGTCTCTTAAAAGCTGGAGAAACTCTGTGTACCTGGGAAGAGCAAAAGGTGAGACACGTGAACCTGAGCTGTGGTGTTTTTACTGGGTTTTTTTGTGTTTTTACTGCCCTGCCCCCCATTTACTTCTGACTTGGGGTTGATAAAATCCATATCCCCATACCTCAAGTGGGGAAATACAGGGGCCGATACAAACCCAGACCATCCTATGGAGCTGTACAGCCACTCTGAGGGAAGCCGTGGGGTCCGGGGCTATTTCTGCGAAAAGCAAACTCAAAACCAAACAAATCAAAGAGGGCGACAAAAGCAATGACAAAAAAGGGAACCCAAACCGTTTATGTGCGGCAGAGGGTGGGAATGGGCGGGTTGGGCTCGGACTCCGCTCGGGTTCGGCTCGACTTGGGCTCAGGCCCCGCTCGGCTCCTTTCGGCTCGGCGGGGCTCGGGTTCGGCTCTGTTCGGCTCCTTTCGGCTCCTTTCGGCTCGGCGGGGCTCGGGTTCGGCTCCGTTCGGCTCCGTTCGGCTCCTTTCGGCTCGGTGGGGCTCGGATTCGTCTCCGTTCGACTCCCGGCGGAGGCCGCGCCCTGTCCCCCCGCCGCGCGTGCGCAGAGCGCGCGCCGGCCCGCACGCGGCTGCCCGCGCGGGGCGCATGCGCGGAGCGGCGGCAGCGGGGGCTCGGCGGGGCCGATTCGCTGGGCCCGCCCCGTCCCCGCGGCCCCGGCCCGGCCCCGAGCCCGCCCCGACCCGCCGGACCCGCCCCGCCCGCCCGCTCCGCCATGAGCGCGGCCTGAGCCCGCCGCCAGCCCGCCCCAGGCGCCGCGGGCCGCTCCGCCAAGATGGCGTGTGTGCTGGAGGCGCCGCTCCGCATGAGCGTCCTGTCGGTGAGTGCCGGGCCCGCTGACCTTGGCCCCGGGGCCGGGCCCGCTCTGCCCGCCGGGGCCGCGCTCCTTTCCCTCAGCACCCCGAGCCGGGGCGGTTTTGCCCCCCCGAGCGGCCCGGGCCGGGGCTGCGGAGCTGTGTCGTTACCGTGGCACGGCCCGGACTCGGCGGCTCCCGCGGGCCGCCCGTGCCCGGGGTGCGGAGCGGGGCAGGGGCTCCCTGTGCCCGCCCGCCCTGCCCGGCCGGGCGCGGCTCTCCCCTGGGGCCGCGGGGGGCTCCGGCAGCCCCCGGCACAGCCCGAGCGGTCCCGGGCTGTGCGGCAGGAACGGTGCGGAAGGCACAGCCGGGTGCTGCTGCCCGCGCTCAGGGTCGGGGCTTTTGCTTTTTCCCCCCCCAAATTCGCCTGGACACGAACGCCCTTCTGCGTGCTGCGGACCTTGTAGCTGGTGGTGTGAGAGTCAGGGTATTTTAGAAACAGCTGCGGGGTCTCTGAAGTCCTAAAAACTTCTGCCTACAAATACGTGGGTCAGACAGCTCAAAGCTGTTCCGAAAAATATTGTCTTTCATTACACGATGGAAGTTTATCTGTAGGGTTTATGTGGCACAATTTAATGGTACTCCTAGAGACAAAGGAGTCCTGCTGTCTCTGGATGACTCTCCTCTGCTAGGTGAGACCAGAGGCAAGGAGCTGCTGCTGCCTTTTGACATCGGGGTGGGGAAGCAGGAGCAGAGGCAGTCCCCGAGCAGACACTTGCAAAAGCAGGGAAGAGCTCTCAATTCCCTTATAGCTTCTCTCAAGGAAAACTCCTAAAGAAAAACTGGGAAAGGCTTAATAAAAAGTGAGCTGGCAAGAAGAAGAAGAAGAGGTGAGATAATGGAAGCACAGCCTGGCACGTGTTCATGAGAACCTGCAGGGAAAATTCCCTTTCCCACCCTTGTTTTTTGGAACGCTTTCCATCTCCAACCTTGGATCTTCTCAAAAGGAATAGCAAATCATTGGTGCATAAATGTGTAGCTTACAAGCATGGTCCTGTTGCTGGGAAGAGTTTGCTTTGTCTTCTGAAGCGCTGTGGGAATGCTGTGGGGAATATTGTGGAGAATATTGTCCTGCTGTCCCCACTGCAGTTGTGTGGGGCAGGCTCTGAAATGTGTAGGTATGTTACAGAAAAAAGTCTTCTTACCAGCTTCCCTGTTTTGGAGAGGTTGTGGGTATGTGTCTTGAGCAACATCAACTGCTCCTAGAAACTTTTTCTTTCAGGAATTCGTATTTATTCAGTATAGTAATTAAACATAATAAAACTCCAGTTCGAGGCAGTGCTGATAATGCAGCTCATAAATAGCTCTCTGTTACCTTGCTCTGACACCGTGTTGTTATCTACATTAAGCACCTCATCTTCCCTAAATCACACCTGAACACAGGGTTAATCCCTGGGTGGATGTTGCCCAGCAGTAACACGTGTCACATTTAAATGTCATTCTGTAGGTTTGCTGCCTCTTGCCTGAGAGGTTTTGTGGAGCTGCTGCTGCATAAGCCATTCCTGTTCTCCTGCCTTTCTCTGAGTTGATATAAACTGTTGCCATTGCTGTTTGTTTTCTCTCTGCAGGAGGTCACAGCCAGCAGCCGCCACTATGTCGACAGATTGTTTGACCTCGACCCCCAGAAAGTCCTGCAAGGTGTCATGTAAGTCATTGGAACACCCCTGGGCTCTTGGCTGTGTGTAGGCCGGGGGTGCTTGATCCCACTGGAGCTGTAGGGCAGGGGCAGGAAGCTCTTCTTGTCTTTTTTTTGAGAAATCTAGTTGGCAGATCTTAATGCCAACGTGGTAGTATTGCTGTAGGGATGGATGGTATTGATACAGACTCTCTGTAGTGCATATGGGTCATAATGCAGCTTCCCAGTTGCCAAAAATGAGGTTTAACATTCTGTGAACATTGACAAACTTTTTTGGATACACTTCTTCCTTTTGGCCACCTTTTACTCCTCTTCCAGGTCTGTTGAGATTCTTTTCTCTTCCTCCACTGCTGAGTCAGTGTATTTGCCTCTTACTCTTCCCCTGCTGCCCTGCCTCAGTGTTGGCTTTTATTTTTTTAATGCTTGGCTTCTGTCTCACCATGGGAACTGCAAGCTGAAAGAAAACGCTTCCAGAGAAATTAATTTGGATGCAAATTATATTTCAGTACTTCTGTTGCATGCCAGTGGTCAGGGGCAGTGACTGAGAGAGTGAGGGAAGGACTTGTCCTGCTGCAAAGGTCTGGTTGTTTCCTTGCTGTCCCTGGGCTATGAGCTTTCCATCAGAGCCACACAGCCATGTGGCAAACGAGTCCCTGCCTGGGACTGACTTCTGGTGGTGAAACAGGACCTTTTTGGGCTTACCAGTAACTTGCTGGCTGTGCCTGTCTAGGAAAATGCCAGGAAACATCAAAGGACCGAGTGGATCAGAAAGCCAAGGATATTGGTTGTGTTGCTTAGCACAACCTGAGGCGTTTTCCAGTAGCAGATGAAAACAATTATTCCAAAAGGTGCCCCAGGGCAACATATCAGAATTCGTGTCCCCTTAAAATAGGTGAAAAACACAACAGACATGAAAATGTCCTAGAAACATCCTTGGTTGAAATACCCCCTTAGCTGTACAAAACTTGTGATGCCCTCCCATAGCTCTGTACAGGTTCTTAACTCTGCTGCAGGAGAGTCTGGTTTTGCTCCCACCCCTTGGCCTTCCTAGTCCACTCCTGCAGGGGCTGGTGGGGTGGTCCTGGGGCGAGGATGTGTCTCATCCAGTGTCCCAGTGGGGTGACTGAGCCCCTCTTTTCTCCTTGGCAGATGCTCTGAGCCCTGGCTGGCGCTCCCTCCCTGCTCTCCTTTCTTTTCAAAGGACTGGAACCCACAACCCTTGGTAATCCCTTCCCTATCTTTTGATGTGTTATTCATACCTTTTGAAGTTTAACTCATTTCCCAGAAACAGGAAGTTTTAGGCGGCATCTTTGTCTCGGTTAACATCTGAAATTCTTCATCTTGTCCGTGAGTGTCAGTGGATTCTATGCTGAGATGCTTTTCTTGTATTTAAAGACAAGAAAATACCAATTTATTTCGTAATATCTTTCACTGGGCAGATTTGGATGGTAAAACTGTGTTTGTGCTGCTCTGCTTGGAATCTTCATTGTGGGAGTGCGTCTTTGCTGACTCTGAGCCAGTCCTGTGTGGCAGATGTGGTGTTTTCAGGATATTGCTGGGTGGGTGTGAAACAGTCCAATTAAGGGAAATGTATATAAAAAATAGGATTTAGAGTAGTGTATGTATTAAACATTTCTGTCAGCCCAGGGTTCTCTTTGGGCAGAGAAATACTGCTTTTCCCTGCGTCCTTTGACTTCAGGGTGTCTGCAGAGGTGTTGAAGTTGGGATGAACTGATGTTTGGGGTGGAGTAGAGCAGGATTTCAGTTCTTCCAGAGTGCCTCTCAGAAGCTTTATCAGCTATGCTGCATCCTTTGCAGAAAGTCTTTGTTTCCTAAGATGTGCTGGTTTCTTTTCCTGCATCCTGGCTGGAAATACTGATGACCTAGATTTTTATTTTGATTGATGGAACTGTATGAATATCAAGCATCAGAAAATAGACTGTTGTAAGAGGCTTTGTTTCTGCAGATTGTCTTCAGTTACAATAGTCCTGTTTTTAATATGCTTGAATGAATAACTTGGGTTTGGGGCCTTTTTTTGATTGCATCCTTGTAATTTTAATGAAACCCAACTTCTGAATGAGCTTTGATAAAGGTAAGATGTAGCTAAATGCTTCTTGAACTTGAAAATCATGCCAATCCAGTTTTCATCTTGTAACTTGAGAAAGCTTTAATTACATATTCTGGAGGTATTTAAATGATCAGAATCTCTTCTTTTCCTCTCTTTCCCATGAATTTTCAGAGAGGTGGTGTTCAGATTCTCCTTTGTCCAGACAGTGAAGCTTCACCTGGCTGGGAAATTTTTCCTTTTCCTCCTAATGGGAAAACAGAACCCTGTGTCTGGTACTGCTGCCTGTAGTTCTGTTGATCTCATTTAAAAATGCCAGGTTTCCTGCAGAACTTCTGTTCACATCACTTGTACCACCTTCAGTTGGGTGTTGATAGTGGGTAGGAAGGGGAGAATTTGGAGCACCTGCCAGTAAATCCTGAATTTGAGCTCAGGGTTTGGAACCTTGAGGTTCCTACAGGGGTGACCCCTGCCTTTGACAGCACCTGGCAGGGAACCAAAGTGTTCAGGGCCCCTCTCCATACCCACACCTGTGTGGCTGTGTGTGTACCCACCTTCTCTTGACTGTCTTTGAAGATGAGCAAGATTAATATGGTAGTTTCCTTCTGTAAACGTGAACCCTACATTGTGGCCATGCTTATGCTCGAGAGGTCTGTAGGGTTCGCTTTGTGGCTCCTGAGGTGCTCCTCTAACCCTTCATCTTGTTGTACAGCTCAGATTCCCTGCAGGGAGCTCTGAGTGCACAGTGCAAGGTCAGCACTGTGTCAGGTGTGCAGCTCTCAGGGCACTCGCTGTGGGCAGGTACTGCAGGGTCTCTCTGGGCTTCCCTGAAATGTTTGCCCTTATTGGCAGAGGAGCAGAGCTCTGGAAATCTGTGTTGTTAGGAGAGCTTCATTTGCCCCAAGGTGGTTCCTGCAGCATCATCCTGTGCTTTGCAGTGGGGCAGTATTTATTTATTGTTTTAGAAACAATTCTGAGTTGTGATCCTTAGGCTGCCATTTGCTTTTTACTTGATCTTAAGCTCAGGACCACATCGTTTAGATGCAAGACTGATACCTGGTTTTGCCCTCTAATTTATTTGCTGGTTGGGGGCTTTTTTGAGAGACATTTTGTCATGCTTACACTTAGCCCGGTGCCTTCAAAGTGGCAATCTATCACTTTGTGGAGAGCTGTGTGATCCTGTCTCAAGGCTGGGTTTGAAAGGAGAATTCTTTCTGACAAATCTGGCTGCTCAAGGTCCCAACTGTTTCTCATCAGGCTGTTCCTCAGCAGTCACAAGGTGTCATCTTATACAACTTGTAAATCATCATCTTTGTGGTGCACTGAGAATTCCTTATGCTGCTGCTGTCCCTGTCCTTTATGGCCAGCAGGAGTTAGACAAGGATCTTCCAAACTTGTGTGAGGTTTTATTGCTCAGGGCAGTAAAAGAAACATCCTGTGGAAATGGCACTTGGTACTGATAAACCACCTCAGACACTGTCTGTTCTCCATCCAGCTTGTATTATTTTTGTGTTCTTGGATTTGCCATGGCTGTTGCAGGCAGGATTGGGGTGGCAGTGTCCTGTGTTTCTCAGCTGTGGCAGTTGGAGGGAGCAGCAGTGCAGAGTTCACGTGTCTGCGCGAAAACTGGGTGAAATATAAGAGGCAACTTCATGGAGTGGGAAGAGAAGAAATTCCCATCTCAGTTCTAATGGAGCAACAGGTACCCCCTTCAGACAGCTGTGAAGAGGCTCCTTCTGCTTCTTGTTCATGTCTTTTAAACAAACCTTCTTTAACACTGTCATGAACAGCACTTGTTTCCACCCAGTGCATCCCAAACAGCTGCAGTGACACTCAGCCTGTAGGCTCTTCTGAACCCAAATTTTCTGCAGGAGCTGGGTTTTTTTGCATGTTCCCTTGGCCCTGTGGAAACAGAGCAGCCCTTAGGGGGTCGTTGGTGTTACACTTTGCCCCTGTACATTTTGGGTCAGTTCTGTTGTCTCCCAGACACTGCACTGCAGTAAATGCGTGTTCTGCATGGAACTTGGAGGTGTCATTGGCTAAGAACAAGTGATGGAGTTTTTGGAAGTGTTGTTTTTGTGCAGAGTCATTTGTGTGGGGAGGCTCCTGAGTGTAGTGTTGGTGCTCTGTGAACTGCAGGAGGGGCTCCTTGTGGCTGGAGCTGGGAAGGGTTTCTGTGGGCTGAGAATGTGACAGAAATCTGAGCGGGTTCAGGTGGTGCTGGGAGTATGACTCGTGGTTTCTCCCTTCCAAGAGGTGAGCTGGGAAGGAAAGCTTTCCAAGGGTGAGAAGAGGAAATGAAGAGGCTGAAACATCATTGGGGAATTAAGCACTGCTCTGTGAAGAGGGGTTTTCCATAGAATGGGGTTTGTAGTCAGATGGAAAGATAGTGCAGAGGGGAGAAGGGAAGCTGCACATAAATCAGGAACACAGTTGTGTTCCTGTCACAGAACAAGGTACTCTCTCACTTTTGTGCTTTCTTTATAATGCAGGTAAAGGTGCAAATGCACAATTGCTTCTTCTGCAAGTAAATTGCTATGTATTGTAACTCCTGGACTGATATTTAGAGGTGGGCTAAGCTTCAGGAATACCTGTGACATTGGCCCAGCCATCTCCAGCCTGCAGGGCTGTTGAATATTTCAAACCTTGCAGTTGCTGCTCTGAGCCTGGGAGAGAAGCCTGATGAGGATTGATCTCTTCAGTGCTGCCTTTCACATGGAAGCCACTTTTCTCTGAAATCCCTCTCCACACCACCCTCAGAGTGCTGATACTGTTGCTGTGATGGTTTCAGGCTGTGAGTAGGATGGGGGAGGAGAAGCAGCTTCTGTCAGACTGGCTGGTGGAAATCAGGGAGTATTGGTCACACAAGTCCTGAGGTGGGACTTAGTGACAGACTTCCAGCTGAGCACAGCTGATGCTGCAAGTTATCTCTGAGATCTTAATA